CCATATCCATATCCATATCCATATCCATATCCATATCCATATCCATATCCATATCCTCATTCATATCCATATCCGCATTCATATCCATATCCACATCCACATCCACATCCGTATCCATATCCATATCCATATCCATATCCGCATTCATATCCATAAATGACGTATCCATGGATATCCACATTCATACCTATATACAACATATTCATAACCATATCCAAAATATCCATGTAAATATCCATATCATTGTCCACTTCCATCTGGAACTTATCCAATACACTCTTTTGCATTGCAGACGACGAGCACTGGTCGAATGAAGCGGACAACTCGGTAATCGCACTGAAGCCGTCACAAATCGCGCTCTCGCATCATGCGCAGCTGAAGCGCAAGAGCGCTGTGCAGCCGCCGGAGGATAGCTATCTGCGGGATCTGCCGGCCAAGCCGTATGTGCCGAGGCAGAGCGAACGCGTCAAGACGCCGTCAGCGCCATCGAACAGCAAGTCGTGGTCGCGCGAGGACGAGATCAAGCCGATCATCATGCGACCCGCTGACTACGATGCGAAATTCAATCGGGTGATGCAGCTGGAGCCGCAGCCGGCCAAGCATGAGGCGGCGCCCAAGCTGCGCGACACCGACAAATACAACGAGATCAATCGCTTGCTGAACAAGAAGCTGTCCGGCCACGATCGGGATCGGCTCAAGGAGCGTTCGCTGCACGACGACGATCTGGACGACTTCGATGACTCGGATCCGTGCAGTGATCCGCCGCAGAAGTCGCTACCCGTTCCCAGCTATCGCAAGGAGAACCTGACGGACAAGCAAAAGTTCATGGAATACGCGTCCAAGAAGCAGCAGCAGCAGCAGCAGCAACAGCAGCTCAAGTCCTATGCGGCCGAGGAGGCGCAGCGCTATGGCGGCAGTCGCCATCGCTATGTGGATCCTGCCGAGCTGCCGTTCGAGCAGCTGCCGCCAGTGCCGGCGCACAACAAATATGCGGCCGTGCATCGCGGCGCAGAGCAAACGCGCAGCAGCAACAGCGTCGGCGGCGGCAGCAGCAGCCACATCAATGGCAGCAATCCAGATCGACTACGGGAGCGTCATGACAGAGACAGAGAGCGCGATAGAGAGCGAGAGCGAGAGCGAGAGCGGGAGAGGGAAAGGGAGCGCGATAGAGATCACGAGCATTCCAGGGATCGCAATCCATACCGCGAGGCAGAGAGCCTGCCGTACATCCAGAGCATGGAGAAGATGATGAAGTCGACGGGCATGCGCTACGGCGAGGAGCCGCCACGGAAGCCCAGCAGCCGGGATAGCCGCGACTACGTGCGGGAGTATCCGACTGCGGCCAGCAGTCAGGTGTCGCCGAGCGATCGCTTCCACGATGCCATGGAGCGTAACGGCGGCAGTCGCTATGACCTGGACGAGCGCGACAGCGGCAATGGAGTCGCAGCGGTGCCGCCCACAGCCGACTACAGATCATCGTCGCGTCGGCGTCGCGGCTCCGTGGAGCCGCCCAGCTACGATCAGTGGAGCGACGAGGAGGAGGAGCCCGAGCAGCAGCTGCCAGTGCCAGTGCAGCAGCCGGAGCCGATGATGAGTCGTTCGCGTGCTCGCTCGCGCGACCACTGGGAGCAAGAGCAGCAGCATCACGGCAGCAATGGTGGCAACATGCGTCACGGCCAGGAGCGGGAGCGGCGCGAACGCGACTATCCCATGCGACGCGGCGACGACATGCGAGAGCCGCCACACGATGGCTATCGTCTGGATCGCGAGAGGGAGAGGGAGAGGGAGAGAGAAAGGGAAAGGGAGCGGGAGAGAGAGCGAGAGAGAGAAAGGGAGCGGGAGCGAGAGCGCGAGCGCGAGCGTGAACGGGACCGAGATCGGGAGCGAGAACGGGATCGCCATCAGTCGCAGTCGCGCCATCAGATGCGCGCACGCTCGCGAGAGTATATGCAGCCGACGGAGCCGGTGCCGCCCGTGGCCAAGTCCAGTTCGTCGCGCCTAAGCCATCACGCCGAGCGCTATCCGTCGCCGGCGCCGACGCCCAACAGCGGCAACAGCGGCAGCTCCAGCTCGGGCAAGCCGCTGGCCAGCATGCCCAAGGGCTATCGGCACAGCTATGCGGAGCCCGTGTTCGCGCGCTCCGGCGGACGTGTGGGCCTCGCTGCAGTCAATCCCTACTGATAGCAAACCACAGCAGCAACAACAACAACGACAACAATAATATTGCTTAATGAACATACTCAATAACTGTACATTACACACACACACACTCACACAAAGTGGACGAATCCCCCATGCGGGGGGGATGAGCAGCAGCCACGGATCCAAGCGCCACAAAGCAGCTGGGCACCAAGTGCTTCGGCGGTCAGCGCCTGTAATTATGTGCCTTCAAAATATGTTTTATATCAGTGCAGATGCATGTATATACATATACATATATACATACATACACAAATACATTTGTATTCATGTATATCCATGACTATATAATGCATGTATATTTTTTATTTAGCTAAAAAAAAAAACACAAACAAACAAAAACAAAAACGAATCGCGAACAATCACAGTTGATATATGCATTTTTTTTTTTTTTCATAGCCCTAAGTCGTGCGGTTGGTTGGTATATAAATATATGATATATTTACATATATATATATACTATACACATATATATGTATACTTTTTTTTTGTAATCAACTTAATATTTGATACGTGTATGCATAATAAACGTATATAGCTGATGTATCTATTGTTATCAATTTGATATTTACATTAATAAAGCGCTAGAAAAAAATTTAACTGGGTCTTTTTATTTGTATTTAAATCATATATGAATTGATTACATTGTGAAGTTGAAAGTTTATAATGCCACGGTACAGAAATTTTACTTGTAATCAAATTCAAATTTGCCGCTCTTTGATATTTTTGCTTTGCAGCAGCAGCGCCATCTATGGTCAGTTTGCATACAGCTTGCGCGTGTATCAACTCTGCGCTGTGTGGCGGCATGTCGATAACAGTCATCAGTCACGATCAGTTAACACGAAAGTACAAAGCATATTTGTCATTGTCTTACTGATTTGAATCTCAATTAATTATTATCATTAATTTCGTATATTATATACATGATGTTATACGAAATTAATGATAATAATTAATTGAGAATCAAATCAGTAAGACATTTAATGGCAAATATTTTTAAAGATTTGAATTTGCCTGGACTGATGGCCAATCTGTTAAATTTATAATTTTTAATAGATTATATATTTCGCTTTTGCATCCATATATCCAAAATCGTCCAAAATAGATTTACACCCCGACTTGGATACATCTCTTGGTAGAAATGTTTCTCCAGCATAGACCTTCCATTCTCCCCACACCTTTACAATGAAAATTTAAAAACATCTTTAATCTTAAGGACTAACCACATTTATTCCTTAACACATTCTATACAAATTTCGTCGATTTTTGTTTTGTTTTACATTTTATTGTTTAATTTAAAAACTCTTTGTTTGGTTTTCACAATAGTTTTTGTTTTTTTGTAGATTTTTTTCAAAACAAAAATAAAGAAGAAAAATATAGTTTAGTTAATATATTTTTATCCTTTCTCTCTCACTTGTGTTTTTTCATTTTTGTTGTTGTAGTTTTGTTGTTGTTGTTGTTTTTTGTATTTTTCTTTGTTTGTAATAATATTAATTAAAAATATTGTTTTCTTTTTGTTTTTCTTTCGCAAGTTAATTTAAGAAACAATTAATCAAGTAAGTTCTTATTTAATTATACAAATTTAAAAAAAATAGTAATTATATAATAATAAAAATAATATTTATAACGGGAAAAATGCAAATAGCTCTTCTTCATGTTGTTGTTGTTGTTGTTGACTTCTCAAGTTGCTATTGTTAGTGTTTGTTTGTTGTTGTTGTTGTAGCTAGTAATAGTAAGGTTTCTTGTTTCTCTCATTTTAATGCGCGCAAAGAAAATATGTTCTTGGTAAGGGGCGTGTGGGCGGGGCATTTACGACCAATTGAAAATATTGATAAACTAAGCGAATAATGGAAGTCAGGATTTAGTTAGATTGATTGATTGTGTGATTGTCGTTCAACACTTGAATGTCAAAAATCATTTTCATTTATTTTCTTTTAACTAATACTCTCCATAAATACACACATATTATTTCCCGTCCTCCACTTCTTCATCTATACAAAAGGTCATTTGAAAAAAAAAAAAAAAAATAAACAAAATAAATTTAAACAGAAGTTGCAAAAATGCTCGGCCAATGGGCTCGCATCTATATATCAATCGAATTGGTAGCTGGCTATTGGGGAGTGGTAGGTGGCGCGCTGCGTCGAATTTCATGGTGGTTAGATTGGCTTGGGATATAGGATTTAGGTTCCATGTTCCGTGTGTGGGGCGTGGGGCGTGGCGAGCGCCTTACATGTTCTCAAACTGATCGACGCGACGCTTTGTGTTGCCCTTGCGGATCTCGCGCAGCGTCTTGTACTTGTCGCGTCCCTGGCGCACATTTTCGCGATGAATCTTATCGTTTGCCGTCTCTTTCGTTTCGTCGCGTGACTGCGCCAGGTCTTGCTTCAGGGCCTGCAAATAGCGCGAGAGAGGGAGAGAAAGAGTTTGAATTAGAAAGAGATGAAGAGAGATAGAGAGCACACAAGTAATATATGAAGTATGATGTATACCTAAATGATGAATCACGGCTACTCAACTATATTTTTTTTATATTTAGAACGCATACCTATATGGAACTCAGCAAATATGTTTTATCTATAACTTGGTAAACTATGAAACATAACTAAAAGTCCTGAGAATAGAGACTGAAATCTTTATATCTAATTCAATTCCTACAAATATATATGATATTATATGTAGTTGTATCCAAAACAAAGAAATGTGCTTTAGCGTTATCTACCCTTTACACCTTCTGTATAGAACATTTGACAAGCAAATATTTGCTTTACACATAGTATGAATATGGCAATGCCCGCTTTTTAAACTAGGTAAATTCTGTTACATTCCTTAAATTCTTATCTACACCATCTAACATATAAAGAGCATACTCAATATTTTTCCTTATGTTGTCTGTTGTTGGTTTTGCCACATAAGCCAAAAGCTTTTTGCCATGCCAATTATACAAAAACTACATTGCCTGATAAGATAAATAAACAAAATGTTTACTGCGCCCACATAAACAAAACAAAACCGAAAAAGAAAGAACAAAACCCAAGCGTGTTATCTGCATATTTCAAGAAAGCTATCTAAGGAGGTTATCTCTATGGGGGTGCGTAGCACAGTCCCCCTATCTCTATCGCTAATGTTTGCACGCACCTTAAGCTGATCGTGCAAGCGCTCGTTGCGCTCGGCCAGCGTGCGTCTGTCCTCGATGGGATCCTTGATATGCTCGTCTGTGTCCAGGTCGCGCGACACATCGCCGCCGGCATCGCCATTCGTCAGCTCCTCCTCGTTCTCGTTCTCGTCCTCGGCCACGTGATGGTGTTGCGGCGTGGTGGATGCCGCCAACAGCGCAGCAGCAGCTTCGGCCTAGAAAATTACAAATCGGATAAATAGATAAATAATGCCGATGGGGATGAGGGGTAGACGGAATTCACCTGCTTGCGGCGTGCCTCCTCGACTTCGTCTTGCAGGCGCTTGGTCTCTTCGTCCTTGGCATTGACTTCGTCCTGAATGCGTTGCACCTCCTGTTGCTTGGCCATGATCTCCTCCTCCAGCTTGGCCTTCTCGACGGCCTCCATGTTCTTGGCCTCCTCCAGGCGCTGCAGCATCGATTGCAGCTCCTTCTGGCGCAGCTCAAGCTCATCCTTGGCGGCCTGCAGCTGCTTCAGCTGCTCTTCCAATCGCCGTATCATCTCCTGTGCCTCGAGCAGATCACGCTGCGAACGCTCCATCTCCTCTTGCATTTGCTTGAGTCGATCCTCATACTCCTGCTGCTTCTTCTCGGCACGCTCACGTGCTGCCAGCGCCAGCTGCAGCTTCTCACTGTGGAAGAACATCGCATCAATTAGAGAATATTTCATATATTGGAAAAGTGAAGCTGCTACGACTTACCGCTCCTGCTGTTTGGCATTCTTCTCTTCGCGCGCCTGGGCCTTCATTTGCTGCACATCGATCGTGTCGGGCTTGCGACGACGCATGTAGAGCTCATGGTTGCCCATGCAGAGGGCCAAGATGCGCTTGTTGATGCGAACGCGCGGCGCAAAGAACATAAAGTCCGGCGCCTTCTTGTCAATTGGCTTGATGATGAACTTCTTCTCAGAGAACGAAATGTTACGGATCTCGGACCAGGGGAAGCCAATTTTGGGCGTTAGTCGATCGTCCTGCTCGTAAATGTTCAGGCCGAGCGCATCGACGCCCAGCCAGAGGTCGGTGCCCTTCTTGTTGCGTATCTCGAAATAGTTAACGCCATACATTTCCAGATCCTGGGCAATCTTCAGATACTCCATCATGGCATCCTCGCGCAGCATGCTGCGATGCTCCTGCCACCAGGTCATTATCGATTGCTCCCATTCGTCCTTGGACATCTTGTGCTGATCGATGACGCGCTGTGGCAACAGTCGATCGTTCGCTAGGAAACCGGCTGTGTGAGTGGTTTTATTGTGATCGCCATGGCGCGCCTGCACCGCATAGGAGGCCAGCAGCACCGACGTCTCCGGCGGGCAGTAGATCTCATCGGTCAATATGGCATTCTTCACTTGCAGATAGAACAGGCGCAGTGTGATGTCCTGTATGAGCTCCTCGGCCACATCCTCCGGATAGAATTTGGCACGGAATCTGAATTGCAACGGATTCTCCTTTTTCACATCCTGATTCATGACCTAAACACACACGAATGAATCACAATAAAAATGAGATTAGTACACAGGCGAGCGATATTGATGCATTTTCCTATTCATTCAAGATATTTCATATATGTATGTATATATATATAATTTGGCACATTATGGGTTACCCATGTTGAGAACGGCATTGATCCAGTCTGTGCGATTTGGTTTCAAGTGTGTGCAGCATGTTTCAATAGAGAATCAATCAGAGATCAATAATAAGAATTATGCATATATTCAGTTTTTACTCGTTAGACAACTCTACAGAGCTGGGGCTGGGGATCGTTGTTGGCATGCAGGGCAGAGTCTACAGACAATCTACATTCAGTTATAGATTATGGCAAGGTC